GCAGGGCTCCTGCCCCATTCGCAGACCCTGGCCCAGAGCCAGCCCCTTACTTCCTACCCCAGGTCTTCCCTGCAGGCCCCTTCATGAATACGCTAGGCTCCCTGTCAGCTGAGAGAGAAAAGAAATAAAGTGTATTTGGGCTGAGAGAGTTGCTGTCCCTCTTCTGGGATGCCCTCAGAGGCTGCCTTGTTTCCTCATGTCCTCTGCCTCAGTTGCCCTGCTATGATCCCTCAAGCAAGTGCTACCTGTTTTCACAGCCAGAGGGGGCATTAGCTCCCGCTGTCTTTCGAGAGGGTGTTAGGGAATAAATAAAAAAAGAGAGAGAGAGAGACAAGGGGGGGAAATGGTCCTCTGACTCACTTCTATTGGAGAAAAACACCAAGGATGGCAGAGAGTGACTGATTGGTCTTCGATGAGGTGGTCAGTTCAGAAAACAGAGGACAGAAGCAGAAGCCTTCAAAGGCAGGTGTGGGCGACAGATGGGAGCTTGGAGGCTGTGGGGTGGGACCCAGATTTCCACAAGCTGCTGCTGAGAGGAAGCAGGGCTGAGCCCCAGGCCAGGGGAGTGGGGAGGGGAGAGGGAGGGGCACTGCTCGACAGCCTCCCTCCCCCGCTGCCAAGCAGCAGCCGGTAGCCAGAAGGTGGCTGCGGTTTGGCACGCCCGGATGTGGGCTGCGGGAGCCAGTAGCAGGGCCCGGTTCCCACCCGGGACCCTGTGCTCCTGCAGCACAGAGCGGGGGCCAGAGCTGTGAGAAGCCCCAGCGGGCCCCCTTCTCCCTCTCTGCACCCAGAAACCTCCCCAGCTGACCACAGTGCTATTTATGCGCATGGCCGCCAGGAAAGGCCATTCATGGTTAGCAGCCTGCCACGTGCTGTGCATGCTCAGCCTCAGGCTTTTGGCTACTGGTTTGCTGGCCCTGCTGGAGGGTACTTCCTGCCCTCCAGGCACTCAACACCGCAGGCTCACAAGCAGATGGTGATGTTACCCATCACTAGCTGCTGACCAGCTGGCTGGCCCTCTTGTCCCACATGCGCCTGACAATGTTCCAGGAACGGGAGGTATGGCTCAGGGTGAGGAAAACAGTAACAGCTAATGTCTAGTGAGCCCTGACAAGCCTCTAGAAATAACCTCGGCATTTTCCATGTGTTATCTCATTTAATCCTTACAACAGCTCCACAAAGTAGACAAGAGAGATGTTGTCCTCATTTTACAGGTGAGGCTACGGAGACTCAGAGAGGTTAAGTTATTTGCCCAGGTTGCACAGCGAGTGAGGGAGGGAGCCGGAATGAGCAGCCAGGACTGTCCAACTCCAACATTCTGAACAGCTACGTGGTGCCAGTGCCGACCAGGATCATTCTGGTTTCCTGGCTTACAAGTTCTGTATTTAATCACTTAGGCACTCCTTCTGCGAGTGCTTTTCTCATGGCTCCTGTCTGTCGCAGACCAGCTCTGTGCTAAGAGCTCAGGGGAGACCAAAAAAAAAAAAAAAAAAAAAAACCAGCAAGCAAACAAACAAACAAAAAACGGTTTTTGCTTTTGGGGGCTTGCGATTACAGCAGAGTGGCCAAGTATGCAGAAGGCTGAACAACAGAAAAACAGATGTGATTAACCCTCATAGTACATGCAGCAACTTCACGTGGGCCTTGAAGGAAAGGGTGGATAGAACTTGAGGACAGGGGAGAAGGCACTGCACTCACCGAAGACGAAACAGGTAACATAAATTGGATGCTGGCTATTAAATAAATTGAATTTATTGTTTAAAACCTTGCCACAAAAAAAACTCCAGACCAAGAAGACTTCATTAGTGAAATCTACTGAACATCTAAGGAAGAAATAATATTAATTCTATACAAACTCTTCCAGAAAATTGAACAGGCAGGAGTTCCAGCTCATTCTATGGAGGCCAAACTCATCCTGCATAATGGTTAATTTTATGTGTTAATTTGGCTGAGCCACAGTGCCCGGATGTTTGGCCAAATGCATCTGGATGTTGTCGTGAATGTATTCTTTTTAGTTGAGATTAACATTTAAATCCGCAGACCTTGAGTGAAGCAAGTTATCCTCCATTGTGTGTGTTGGTGAGCCTCATCCAATCAGTTGAAGGCCTTACAGGAAAAAACCAGCATGAGGTCCTCTGAGGAAGAGGGAGCTCTCTGCCTCTAGACTGCCTTTGGACTCAAGCTGCAACATCAGCTTATCCCTGGGTCTCCAACCTGCTAGCTCACCCTGCCGATTTCAGACTTGCCAATGTTCACAGTCGCAATTCCTTAAAATAAATCTCTCTCTCTCCCTTCTCTTTCCTCCCTTCCTTCTCTCTCCTCTGTCTCCTACATACATATCCTGTTGGTTCTGTTTCTCTGGAGAACCCTAATAACCAACCCTGATATCTAAACCAGGCAAAAACTTTACAAGAAAAAAAAAAAAACTGGGGTGCCGGGTGGCGTTCGGTTGGGCCTCTGCTTTTGGCTCAGGTCATGATCTCAGGGTCCTGGGATCAAGTCCCGCATTGGGCTCTCCGCTCAGCAGGGAGCCTGCTTCCTCCTCTCTCTCTCTGCCTGCCTCTCTGCCTACTTGTGATCTCTGTCTGTCAAATAAATAAATAAAATCTTTAAAAAAAAACAAACTGCAGAGTAATATCCTTTATAAATAGATGCAAAAATTCTTCAGTAGATTTTAACAAATTTAATCTAATAATATATATGTAATATATTTTTTTTAAAAAGCCAGTCACTTGACTGGCTCAGTCAATGGAGCATGCAACGCTCATTCTTGGGACTGTGAGTTCAAGCCCCACATTGGCGGTAGAGTTTACTTTAAAAATACATAAATATCAATATAAATATCAATATCAATATAAATAACAAATAGGCATTTATATATAAATAAATAATAACATAAAATATAAATATATAAATATATATAAATAAATATTATATATATAAATATAAAATATATGTATGTTAAAGAATAATACATAATGACCAAGTACAGTTTATTTCAGGAATGCAGGATTGGTGTAACAGATCGTATCCCCAATGTAATTTATCATATTAACCGACTAAAGAAGTAAAATCATACAATCCTCTCAATGGATGCAGAAAAAACATTTGACAATACTCAACTATTTTTACTAAACATTCCCAGCAAACTAGAAAGAGAACGCATTATCCTCAATCTGTTTAAGAGCATCTAAGAAAAACCTATGGCCAGTATCATCCTCAGTGATGAGAGACAAGGTTTCCCCCTAAGATCACAAATAAGGCAAGAATATCCTCACTTCCCTTCTATTCAACATTGTAGGGGAGGTTCTAGCCACCATAATAAGCCAAGGAACTGAGATAAAATACATTCAGATTGGAAATGGAAAAGTTAAACTGTCTTTATTTATAAGCAACATTATCATCTATGTAGAAATTCAGGTGGGCTTTACCAAAAAATGTTACTATAATTAATATGTGAATTTACAAAGTTTTCAGGGTACAGGATCAATATACGGAACAACTGTATTTCTATATATTAGCAATGAACAACTGGAAATTGAAAGTTTAAAATACCATATAAAAAAACATCAAAAAATAAAAAATACTGGGGTGCCTGTGTGGCTCAGTCATTAAGCGTCTGCCTTCAGCTCCCTGCTGGTGGGAGACCTGCTTCTCCCTCTCCCACTCCCCCTGCTTGTGTTCCTCTCTCATTGTGTCTCTGTCAAATAAATAAATAAAATCTTTAAAATATATATATATATTAAATACTTAGGGGATAAATCTGACAAAAGCTGTGTTCATGGATTGGAAGAGTCAATGTCATTAAGATGTCGATTCTCCCCAAGTTGATCTATAAATTCAACACGATCCTGATCAGAATCCCAGCAGGCATTTTGTAGTACCTAAGAAGCTAATTCACATGGGACTACAAAGGACCTAGAATACCAGACTACTTTCTTTAAAAGTTGCATCTCAGTCCATATACTCCTGTGTATTTATCCAACAGAAATAAAAGTGTACGTCCACACAATAACTTATATGTGACTATTCATGGCAGCTTTATTTGTAATAGCCCAGGCCAGGAAATAACCCACAAGAATATCAACAGGTGAATGGGTAATGGGTAAATAGCCTGTGGTATATCCATACAGTGGAATACTACTGGGCAGAACAAAGGAATAAAATATTAGTAAAATGTATGAATCGCAAAATAATTATGCTGAAGCATAAGAAGCTAGACCAAAAAAGAGTACATGTTACATTATTACACTTACATAAAAATCTAGAAAATCAAAAGCTAATCTATAATGACAGAAAGCAGATCAGTGGTTGCCTGGAGGGTTGAGGGGTAAGGAGAGGAAGGAGGGGGGCATTGCATACCAAGGGGCCCAAGGAAACTGTTCAAGGTGTTGATATGTTCATTACCTTTATTGCAGTGATGTCTCACAAGTATATACATATGACAAGACATCACATGTATACTTTAAATATATGTAGTTTATTCATATAGGTTTACCTCAGTAAAGCTGTTTTTTTAATTTACTTTTTAATTTATTTATTTATTTGAGAGAGAGAGGGAGAGAGAGAGAGAGTGTGTGTGTGTGTGTAGGGAGGAGAGGCAGAGGGAGAGGGAGAGGGAGAGAATCTCAAGCAGACTCCCCACTGAGTGTCGACCTCCAACACAGGTCTCAATCTCACGACCCTGAGATCATGACCTGAGCCAAAATCAAGAGTCGCACACTCAACTGTCCAAGCCACCCAGGCACCCCAGTGAAGCTATTTATTAAAAGCACAAAAAAAGAGGGATGCCTGGGTGACTCCCTCAGTTAAGCGTCTGCCTTCAGCTCAGGTCATGATCCCAGGGTTCAGGGATCAAGCCCCGCATCAGGCTTTCTGTTCAATGGGGAGCCTGCTTCTCCCTTCACCTGCTGCTCCTTCTGCTTGTCCTCTCTGTCTCTCTTTCTCACAAGTAAACAAATTTAAAAAAAAAACTTAAAACACACACACACACATGAGAACCAAAGGGACACAAGTTTCCAGAAGGGCTAGGGCAGCTTTCTCAATCATGGCTTCATGATGAAATCACCTTAAGCCACTTTGAAAGTCCTAATGCCTTCATCCAAGATAATCAGGAGCTCTGGAGATTCCCAGGTGCATGCAATGGTGAGAACTGGTGAGAGGTATGGGGGAATCTAAGAGCCTACGAGGACTACAAGGTGAAGGGAAGTGTGCAGGGTGTGGGAAGGAGATAAGTACTGGGTGGGTAGATGTCACCGGAAAGTTGCCCGAGGTGGAGGGATCCTATGTGGAAAGCTGGAGGCAGGCTGCAGAGGACTACAGTCCTAGGGATGTAAAGGGTAGAAAGAAGCCATGACCATGAATGAAGCATGTGTACCTTGGAAGTTCATAGTCTCTAACAAAATCAGCATCTGTGTATAGCTCACAAAGATGGTGGGCAGAATCATCCAGATCTCTGGCTGTGTGGTTGTTCGTTCTTTCCCTCTTTCTGAACCCTGGTCTTGGAAAGTCCCACTCTTATGAAACTGTCCCGAAGATCTTTCAGTTACTGTAGCTCATAGAACAAAAGGAGGGGTTGCCCCTGTGGTAGACAGGAACAGCGTAAAGGACATAAAAGCATCCGTGGCCTCAGCTCTTCCTCAAAACTGGAGACTCTGAATGGGGGAAGCTTCAGAAGCAGCTGAGGGCTAGGTGCCTAGAGTGGGGCCCAAGTGTCTATGTTTTTTTTTAAAGATTTTATTTATTTATTTGAGAGAGAGACAGTGAGAGAGAGCATGAGCGAGAAGGTCAGAGGGAGAAGCAGACTCCCCATGGAGCTGGGAGCCCGATGCGGGACTCGATCCCGGTACTCCAGGATCATGACCTGAGCCGAAGGCAGTCGTCCAACCAACTGAGCCACCCAGGCGTCCCGAGGAACCAAGTGTCTATGTTTTTAATAAATCCTTCAGGCTCCCAAAGTTTCAGAACCACCACCAACCCACTAGTGAACACGACATCCACTGAAAATATCCCAAGCTCCTGTCCACTCTCCAATTCCAGCTTTCCAAGTGGGTGAAGAGGGGTAATGAAGAGTTTCTGATATTAGTTTATCATGCAGAAGGCAGGGGAGGAACAGGGACAGATTCTGAGGAGAGGAAGGTGAGTGGTACCTTCTATAGAGGAGGAAAGGGTCCCTAATGGGCTTATGGGGCAACCTCCTCACAGCTAGGGTTACCGATCCACAGGGGTCATAAAGCCAAGGCCAGCCCCTTAGTGGAAGTGGGACTTGGTCACACATGCTCTCCAAGTCTTGATAAAAAGTGATCTCTTGGCCCTTGATGTTTCCACCTCCTCTGCTCATGAAGTCATGGAAACTTTAGTGCGGCTGGGTCTGTAAACATCGCCTTCAACTGTGGTGAGGAAACCAAAGCCTTTCAGGGGTTGTAATAGGGGCTGCAAGCTACAAGTAGCTGAGAGAGTGTGGTAGAACCGACCCCGCCCCCAGGAAGCCCAACAGGCCAGAAACACCAGTGGGCCAGAATGGGGTGGGAGACAGCCCATCACACTGTCCATCTGGGGCAGAGGAATGGAAGCAACGAAGGAAGGACACAGGTGGACAGGGAGGGCAAGGGTCCAGCCAAGGCAAGACAACTCCCATGCCTTGTCCAAGAGCCTCGAAAAGTCCAGGCACCTGCTGAGTGAGAGAAGACATCTTTATTGGCTGAGTAAGGGAAGAAGGTACAGTCGATACTCCCATAAGCCACTGGTGTCAGGTTCACTTCTTCCGAGGCCAGTTTTCACCAAGATGACTATACTGAGCATCATTCCGATCCCGAAGGGGCTAGGAGGTGAGAAGGGGAATCAGTGAGGCAGGGTCAGTTTCTCCCAGGGAAGACCCCAGTAGGCCCCAGAGATGAGAGCTTATGCCTGAGTTTTCCAGCCCTGCCATTGATGAGTTCCCTGCTAGAACCCTTCATCCATGCACAGAACACCTAGCAACAGCCTCTTCATCCCTTCCCATTTCCCTCCCATTCATGTCTCTTTCCCCTCACAGCTCACCTGATAGAGCTGGTCATTTTCCAACAGAACTTGAGTGTCAGCAGCTAGAAGAAATAGGGGAAAGAGTCATCAAGGGCCTAGGAGGAGGGGACAGTGAGACCCCATGAACACCACAAGAGGACAGCAGCTGGTCGTACCCTCAGAAGTCTACATGGGCAATATGGGCACAAGTCTTCCAATAACCAGAGCTAGGAATCCTTAGAGATTGCGAGAGTGACTCCAGGAGGAGACACAACCCACTGCCAGCCCCATTCTTTGCAGGTCCGCACTCACACCCACATCCACAACATACGTGTGCACGTGTGCACGCATGAACGCACACTCTGCCCCTTCCACTTACCCTTAGAGAACCTTCCAGTCTCATGTCCAGAAAAGCAATAGACTCCCAAAGCAAGGAACAGAGTGGCGATTAGGTCAGTGACGACAATGCCAGCCAGGGTGGCTGAGTCCAGCTCCACACAGTTCTGACACACTGCAGGGGGGTGGGGATGAGAGGAGAACTGGAGAGCCTTCAAGACCGGGGAACCATCTCTGCCTCGTAGGGCAACCCCGGGACCTCACACCAGGACCCAAACTTCAGTAAGATCCCTGGAGAAAGGCCTGCTGATACCCTTGCTACATCCACCTCCGCCCTTCATCCCAAGGAATCCCTGAAAAGGAGCCAAGAAGCGGTACCAGCTTTGTAAGAATGCAAACAAGGCTGCAGGGCCAAACCGCTCTCCCAACCCAGCCTCTACTGCTTGAGTCCCAAGGCCCCTGCTATTTTTTTTTTCCATTAGTTAAGCTCCAAAGTCTGGCTCATACCATTACAAGAGGGACCCCCACTTTGTTTAGAGAACAGGTTGGTCCAGCATGGTCCTTTCTGGCTACAAACTTCTCATATCCAGAGGGTCCAGAAGGCACATACTTCGAAAATATACTTGCATAAAAGGTGTTTTGTGGTCTTGTTCATCTGTCCCATTGCACACATACATTCCTCGTGGGTCCAGGTTGCGTTTTCCCAAGTTCCACATTTTACCATGTTTTAATGGTGATGTTCCCTCCAACCGCCTGATGCTGGTGTTACAAGTCAGGAACACCATGTCCTCAAGTTCTTCCACGGTTATCTTGGAGGGGCTCCCTACGAGGAAAACAACAGCAACCCAAAACCCAACCATGACTGCAGCCAGCTGTTTGGTCTGCAGCAGATGCCTTATTCTGCTGTTTGTACTTTAAAAGGACCACTTTCTAAGTCTAGGACAATTTATGGTTTCTAGTGTGAGAGACAGAAGTCACAAGAAAAAGGCTTTGGGAGGCTCCCCATGAACTACAGGGGCCAGGAAGGATGCAAGGATTCAGTCCCAGCAGAGGACAGACCCTGATGGACATGGAGCCAAAGAGGAAATCATGGAGCCAACTGGATCTAAGAACCTTCCTGGACAGGAGTTCAGACCACTGATTAGAAGTAGAAGGGGAGGGGCCCCTGGGTGGCTCAGTGGGTTAAGCCTCTGCCTTCGGCTCAGGTCGTGATCCCGGGGTCCTGGGATCCTGGGATCGAGCCCTGCATCGGGTTTTCTGCTCGGCTGGAAGCCTGCTTCCCCTTCTCTCTCTGCCTGCCTCTCTGCCTACTTGTGATCTCTTTCTGTGTTAAATAAATAAATAAAATCTTTAAAAAAAAAAAAGAAGTAGAAGGGGAGTATAGATTGCTGAAATATTCAAGAAATATGGAAATGCAGAAGACTGTTCCTTGGCTGGAGATGTCCACATTTGTTTTCCAACAAAACTTTTTTTTTTAAAGATTTTATTTATTTATTTGAGAGAGAGAAAGAGAGCAGGAGCAGGGGGAAAGGGAGAGGGGGAGGGGCGGATGGAGAAGCAGGCTTCCTGCTGAGCAGGTAGCCCAAGGAGGGGTTCAACAAGGGGCTGGATGAGGGGTTCAATCTCTTGACCCTGAGATCATGACCTGAGCCGAAGGCAGACGCTGAACTGACTAAGCCACGTACGTACCCCTCCAACAAAGCTTCTAATTCTACTTCCCAGCCATCTATAACCCTCCCACTTCAGCTTCTCATCCTCTTCCCTCCCACTTTGCCCCTGCCCCCATAGCTACCAAGAGAAATGGACTCTCGTCACTAACGTCTTTCTTGGGACCAGTGATGTTTGGGGTAGGAGAGAAGCTGGTATGGATTACCAGCCCAGTGATCCAGAAGGAGAGCCCGGGCAAATCCCATGTAAAGATTTTTAGTTGTTCTACCCTTGCTTAAGGGTAAGGAGGTAGAAAAAATTGTTTTATCAAATTCATTCTTGGTGCGTCACACAAGTCAAGGCTTATAGGGAGTTTGAGGGCTGGAGGTATGCACAGGGCCTTTCTAGATCCACTGAACTGTTTTGACTGAGAACACCTCCACAACCCACAGAGGCATGAGAATCTGTATCTCCAATCCCAGGGAAAAGTGGAGTCCAGATTTTCCCTGAATTCATATTCCATTACCAACTTGAATACAAAACATCTTCTGGAAAATCCCCCAAAGAGCTGTTTCTTGTGCGTCTCACGCAGGCCAAGGTTATATCACATCTTATAATCATGACTTCCATGAGGATCTGTTTCCATTGGAAATCCTGGATGTCCCAAAGCATTTGTCCCAGTTTGCCTGAGATTGAGGGGGTTTCTGGGACAAGACACTACCGGTTTTAAAACCAGGTGAACCAAGATGAGTTGATCATCTTATGACCCCAGATCTGCCCTCCTTCCTTCTCCACCTAAACTCAACTTTCTGTTAAAGCATCCCCCTGAGTACAGGGTCATGGCTCCTGATGGTGGCAAATGATGGCCAAATCACTAAAAGTACTAGATCCTAGAGCCTCTCTGTCCTAGAAGAAATAGTGTTCCCTTATCAGCCCTAGGCTCAGGCCCCTGCAGACTGCACATTTCCTGCAGATCTCTGGCCCTTAGAGAGGCATTCAAGGCCAACATACACGCCTAGCTAGACTCAAAGCCAAGAGCCTGTTTCCCAACCCAAACCCTGTACTACATCCCAACCCTACTCTCCTCGACAATTCTTCTTGGTAAAGTGAAGCTAGCACTGAGAAGGACTTTTACGTGGAGCCCAGTCCAGATGCAAATGTTCCTCCCTTGTCCCTTCTCCAAGATGTCCTCATCACCTAGAGAAGCCTTACCTTGGGAGAGAAGGACAGCCAGTATCAGGCCAGCCAGAAACCTACAGTGTTCCATTTTCCAGCAGAATTCCTTCAGTAGGTAGACCCAGGTCACAGAACTATCCGCCAGGGTGAAAGACACCCTCCTCCAACTGACTCATGGGTATCCGGAAAAAGTAAAGGAGTGGGGGAGGAACCAGAAGACGCCTATCTGTCTGCTCTCTGCTGTTGATCAGAGGAGACTGTCAGGGCAGGGGCAGACTGGGGGTGGGGTAGAAAGGAAGCAGGTGCAAATGGTTCTATCTCCAAGCACTGAGCTTGGGGGTGAGGTGGAAGAGAGAGCAGAGAATGTGGAAAATGTTGTCTAGACCTCTAGGAAGTAAAAGAAGGTTTAGGATGTTCTTTCCCAAGTCACTGATGTAAAACAGTAATTTCAGAGTTTCCCATAAGCCATACCAGCAAGGTTCCTCCCATTTCTGGTCTTTCTTGGGACTCTGCCCAAGGTCCTCCTTGGACAGCCTGGGACACCAGACTAAGTAGCTTTTAAACCGGACATTTGAATCCCAGCTCCAGTACTGCCTACCCACTGGGCCTGGGCCAGTCATGGAATTTTTCAGAGCCTATTTCTCTTCGTATTCAGGATTCAGACAAAAAGTTTGCATGGTACATGAGATATCATATTTGCTCAATAAAAGATAGTTATTAATAACAATGTGATTGACTCACCAGGAGACAAGTGGGCTTTTCTCCCCTGTGGCCTATGGGGATCCAAACTCTCTACACTGCTGGAGTCGGACTGTAATTTACCAGAGGGCAGAGATAGCACATGTCTTGCTCCCTTCTGTATCTCCATCTGGCTTGTGCCTGGCACATAACGAGAGGTTCTGTAGATTTTTGTTGACTCACTGATGGACCGGCTAAGGGAGCCAGGGGCCTAAGATCCTGGAAACTCAGTTCAGGCTCTGGTGCCTGGAAATATATGGCTTGTCTCGTTCCAATTGTCCTACCTATTCTCATCCAGGCAGGCCCCTTTTTGATGATCTTGTCTCCAAAGAGCAGTGAAAAATGCCTGAATAAGGGCTTGAGCACGTGAGGTTTCTCACTTAAATTCATGAGTTTCTAGCAACCAACTGACATCCTAGCAACAAGCGGTAGCAGAGATGTTTACCCCTCTCATGAAGAAAGGGGCCCATCTCCTACCCAGAACCCAAGGGGTTTTTCTGTGCAAGCTATCTCCGAGATGGAGAAGCAGTCCTCTCTCCCTTTCCCTCCCACGTCCTCCCATTCTCTATTCCTTCACAGAAAGCAAGATACATATGCACCTGCAGACCTTCTGAGGCCCCTCTCTGCCCACGTTTGAAGTAGAGGGTGGTGGTTCTGGATTCGAGCCTTCTCTCAGGGGCGCCAGGCTGAGCGGTACTGGGCGGAGCCAGACGAGCTTCTCTGCAGGCTGGTGGGCTGCTGGGAGTTGCTTCGTGCTTCTTTGGGGGTAAAGACAGAGACTGACATGGAGCCAGGGAAGCATCTGGCTGGCCTCATCTTGGCTGTCACTCTTCTTCAAGGTACGGGGTTCTGGTAGTCTGGAGAAAGGCTCAGGGGAAGAGATCATTACCGGGAAAGAAAGGGTATTGGTTTCTCTAACCTCAAGGCTACCTCAGACGTAGAATTCTGAGAAAGAAGGGCAAAATGAAGCCTCTTATTGTTCTCTGCTAGAGAGAAGCAGTGTCCAGTGGGAGAGATGGGGTCCTTGTCTCTTAAGAAATGAAAATAGCAGACTTTACTGGCTAGAGGGAAGACCCGGATGCCGCCATCTTAGGTTGAATGTAGCCCAAAAGGGCACAGGCTGGGAACCTGAAAAGAAAAAGTGTGTGTTCCTTAACTCAGAGCTGGAGTTAGGGGGAGACCTATAAGGCACTCACCCAGTTGGTCATAGGGCCAACAGGTCAACAAATTGGAGTGAGATCCTATTACATGATAGGCTAGGAGGATATAAGGAAGGATAAGAACCTTCTGCCCTAGTGAGCTTATAGTCTAATTGGAGAGAGAAGCTTCAGTGTCACTAGACTAAGTGTAAGGTACAATATAGGACGCCTGGATGAATATTCTGTTGGGCATAAACAATGGGAAGTGGATGACCTGGGTTGATGCCTGGAATCTGGACTAGAGATGGTTCTCCACACGCTGAGGAAAACACAAAAGTTGCTGAAATCATACAAGGACTATGTGAGATGTGAGGAAGAGGGCCTGAGGATGGAACCGAGAGGATATTAACCTTTAAAGGGTAGTAAGAGGGGCGCCTGGGTGGCTCAGTGGGTTAAGCCTCTGCCTCGGCTCAGGTCATGATCTCAGATTCCTGGGATCAAGCCCCACATCAGGCTCTCTGCTCAGCAGGGAGCCTGCTTCTCCCCCGCTCTCTCTGCCTGTCTCTCTGCCTACCTGTGATCTCTGTCTGTCAAATAAATAAATAAAATTTATTTTTTTAAATAAATAAATAAATAAGGGGTAGTTAGAGAAAAACATCTCACAAAAGAGATAAGAGGATGATCAAAGAGCTGGAATAATCAGATGATGCAATACCAAGGGAGCAGAGAACTTCCAAAAGGAAAGAATCACCAATAATGAAATATTATAGAGACATCCTGCTGATAGAAGAATATATTTAAAAGTTTAAGCCTGTGGGATTTAACAAAATAAAGGCCACAATTGATTTATAACCCTTTCACTGGAGTAGTATGAGGGGAAACCGAATGGAAGGGTATAGAAGATGAGGACGGTGATAAAGTACCAAGTGTAGACTGTCTTTAAAGATGTTTGGATGAGGGGCACCTGGGTGGCTCAGTTGGTTAAGCCGCTGCCTTCAGCTCAGGTCATGATCTCAGGGTCCTGGGATCGAGTCCCGCATCGGGCTCTCTGCTCAGCCGGGAGCCTGCTTCCCTCTCTCTCTCTCTGCCTGCCTCTCCGTCTACTTGTGATTTCTCTCTGTCAAATAAATAAATAAAATCTTAAAAAAAAAAAGATGTTTTGATGAGAAGAGAGTTTGAGTGGTAAATAGAAAAGGACATAGGATCTAAGATGAAATATTTTTGAGTATGAGAGAAATGTGAGCCCATTTCTAGGCTAAAGGAAAACGCAGAGAGTAGAGCAAGTTCCTGGAATTGATGTTGAAAGGATGGAGTTGAGAGTGAGGTCAAGGACGCAGAGGAGAAGGCAAGAGAGAGGAAGTGCAAATGGCTTTGGCCATGGGTAGGTGTGTAGTTGGGAAGGAAGCTGGAGAAGGTTCATTACGGCATCTACGTTCTCAATGACCTAAGTAGCAGATGATGCCACTTGCTAAAACTGAGCTTGTTGTTCCTGAGCGGGGGACTCAAGGAGGACAGTGAGAGTTTAGAATGATTTCTGCAGGAAATGGGAGAAGAGCCACTGAAGACCACACGTGGAGGGGCAGGGCTGAAAGCCTGTGTGAAGCAGCTAGATATAGCAGAAAGAGCAATGGAAACCTGAACTCTGGGTCCAGATCAGCCACCAGTGAGCTGTGTGAACTTGGATGATCCCTCCTTCCTATGGGCTCTGTCCTCTTACCAGTCAGTCTAGGAAATTTGGCTACATGAGCACTCAAATCCTAAAAAGAAAGAAGACTCACAGAAGCAAAATTAAAGGATGTTAGCAATCAGTTGGACCCTCTCTCCTATAGAATCTGAGTTAGAACAAGGGGTCCCTTTGTCCCTCCCATGGTGATCAGGTGGTCAAGGAGGGCCACTGGTGAGAAATCTGCTTAACTGTTTGCCTTGCTTTTTTTTTTTTTAATTCACTCATTCATCCATTCGTGCACTCATTCAACAAATATAAAGCTACCATGTTCCAAACTCTGTTAAGTACAATTAATAACCATTTCAGTCTTGCAAGAAGTTCTAAAACAGCTGACTCCTTCCAACTGTTTCCATACTTTTTTCCCCCTTCATACTTTGATTCATGCTTCATCTGTCCCCACCATACACTCCACCTCTAGACACACTACCTCTCTGTCCTTTTCCAACCTGTGTCTTTGCTCAGCTAAATCCTTCTCCCCAGGATGCCTTTTTCTGTCCAGCGAACTCCCAATCATTCAAGTTCCAACCAAATGTCACTTTCTCTGTTAAGTTTTCCCTGTCCCTGACTCTTGGGCAAAATCAATAGCTTCTAGCCCCTTTCAAACGCATTTGCATGAATACTAAAGATAATTTATATATTCTATTATGTTAATTACATCGGTGTTTATTTTTCCTGCTTCATTGTAAACTCTTTGGAGGCAACAAGTTAGTTCTTTGTATCGCCACTCCTGTCTTTCACACAGCTAATCACGTCAGGTACGTCAGCATATGTGGTAAATGTTTGCATTCAATCCAATTGAACTGAATTCTGGTGCTACTTCTTTGTAGTACAACAATGAACGCAACTCCACTACTCTTGAGTTTTGAGACAGATTTGAAGGCTATTGAATAGCTACCCCCCACCCCAGGACGTCCAGGGTTTCTACAAAAAAATGGATTACCAAGGCTGAGGATTTTATTTTTTTTTATATTTTATTTATTTATTTGACAGACAGAGATCACAAGTAGGCAGAGAGGCAGACAGAGAGAGAGGAGGAAACAGGCTCCCCGCTGAGCAGAGAGCCCGATGCGGGGCTCGATCCCAGGACCCTGGGATCATGACCTGAGCCGAAGGCAGAGGCTTTAACCCACTGAGCCACCCAGGCGCCCCAAGGCTGAGGATTTTGGACATACTCAAAAAGCCTTTAGTTCACGTAAACCCACTTTTGATGGAGCGTTAGCTGCTAAAAAAAGCAGAGCATTCCAGACCATGCGTGCAATACTTTGATGTATGTTGCTGTATAGTCCTGATGCTAACCATCCAGAATTAACATCAGACCCCACAGGTCAAGGGCACTGTGCCCAACAAGACTGCCCTCCCTTTGAGTTCCAGGCACAAGTTCAGGGGTTCCTATACCACCTAAACTTCTGACAAGCTGGGTACAAACCTGGAGGGTTCCCAGATTTAACAATTGGTTACAACAACTCACAAAACTCAAGAAAGCACATATTTACTATTACAGCTCAAATTTTAAAAAATAGATTTATTTGGGACGCCTGGGTGGCTCAGTTGGTTAGGCGGCTGCCTTCGGCTCGGGTCATGGTCCCAGCATCCTGGGATTGAGTCCCACATCGGGCTCCTTGCTCAGCGGGGAGCCTGCTTCTCCCTCAGCCTCTGCTGCCACTCTGCCTGCCTGTGCTCTCTCTCTCTCTGACAAATAAATAAATAAAATCTTTTAAAAAATAGATTTATTTATTTACTTACTTACTTGTTTGAGAGAGAGCATGAGCAGAGTGAGGGCAGAAGGAGAGGCAGGCTCCCCACTGAGCAAGGAACCCTAACCTGGGGCTTAGTCCCAGAACTCCGGGACCACGATGTGAGCTGAAGGCAGATGCTTAATGACTGAGCCACCAAGGTGCCCCTTTACTATTACAGTTTAATTATAAAAAATAAAATTAGCATTTTTCCAAATGAAGAGATGCGTAAGGTCTGTGAAGGCCCTGAACACAGAGTTCCTGTGCCCTCTCCCTGTGGAATCAGAATATATCACTCTCCTAGTACATTAATACATTCACCAACAAGGAAGCTCCACTGAGAATTTTATTTCCCTTGACTTTTGGGGGTTTTTTTAGAGAAAGAGGGAGCAGTGGGAGAATAGAGGAGAGGTTGAGAATCTCAAGCAGGCTCTGTGCCCAGCACAAAGTCCAACACGGGACTTGATCTCACCACCCAGATATCATGACCTGACCTGAAACCAAGAGTCAGATGTTCAACCAACAGAGCCACACATGGGCCCCTCCACTGAGTTTTTGTTTTTGTTTTTATTTTAAGATTTTATTTTGTTATTTTTCAGAGAGAGAGAGAACAAGCAGGGCAGAGGCAGGCAGAGGGAAAAGGAGAAGCAGGCTCCCCACTGAGCAGGGAGCCCAATGTGGGGCTCAATCCCAGGATCCTGGGATCTTGACTTGATCCAAAAGCAGACACTTAACCAAATGAGCCATACAGGTGCCCCTCCACTGAGTTTTTACTGGAGTTTCACGAGATACGTATAATTGATTGAATTGTTGTCCACGTGACTGAATTCAGTCTCCAGCTCTCTTCCTCAGCCAAGGCTCAGATTCCAGATTACATGGGTCTTGACCAGCCCCATCCTGAGTCATCTCATAACACAAATTCATGTATGGTCCAAAAGACCACCAAGGGGCACCTGAGTGGCTCAGTCGGTTGAGCGTCCAACTCTTGATTTCGGCTCAGATCATGATCACAGGGTTGTGGGATCAAGCTCCGAGTGGAGCTCCATGCTCAGCAGGGAGTCTGCTTCTCTCTCTCTCTCTCTCCCTCTCCCCTCCCCCCACCATATGCTCTCTCATGCTTTCTCGCAAATAAATAAATAAATAAATCTTTTAAAATAAATAAATAAGTAAGCCCACCAAGAATAACACAGACACTCCTATCACTCATGAAATTCCAAAGGTTTAGAAACTCCTTCCCAGGAATCCATGACAAAGACCAGACAAATTCTTTATTATACAACACCTTGAATTCAATTTGGTGATTTAGGCTACAACCCAGGGAGGTAAGTATAGATACTGCCAACTCTTAGATTAGGATATCTATCTTGGCCTTGAATGACCAAGGAAATGATTACCTCAGGGCATCTGGACAATTCTATACCCAGCTAATCCTCTGTCTCTCTTCTGTCTCTATAGGTACTACAGCCGAGAAGAAACAAGGTAGTGTGAATGGCTTCTTTCTATCCTCAAAGTCTGAGGAAATTAATGGAAATATGGTTCCTACACAAGTAGTCCTATAGGACTGAGTGACAGAAGGGATGGAATGATGGGTAATAATGGCAGTCAACCAAACAACTGGCCAGTCATGATCTTTCTGGGCAGCTTTCCTGAAGCCAAGCAATTAGCTCTCTAATTCTTGGAGTAGAAACAGGACCCCAGCAGCTAGGCACTGTTCAAAGTGGGACCCATGAACCAACACCACTGGCATCAAATTAGAAATGTTCCATTTCAGCTCTTTCCCAGAACTACTAAGCAGAATCTGAAATTCTCACTAGGTTGCCCATGGGAACCATGTGCATATCAAAGTTTGAGAAGAGCCGCTACAATGGTCTTGTCCTGATACCTCGAGGCAGGGAAAATTTCAGAGGAACGATCCTTAACAGACGGTGACTTTTCCCTTTTCAGAAGTTCCTGTGATAAAAGTGGATGACAATCGAGAAGATGGTTTGGTACATCTGATTTGTGTCTCAAATGACACAAAGATCACATGGTTAAAAGACGGGAAACAAGAAAATTCCTCGAATAATACTAAGCTGAATCTGGGAAGCAGTATCAAGGACCCTCAAGGGATATATCAGTGTAAAGGATCAGAGAACATTTCAGAACCACTCCAAGTATATTACAGAAGTATGTAATCCCCTTTGGTTTGTTTGTTATCTAATTAAGCAGTACTCACTAATCTGGTGGGCTTCTTATCCCTGGTGAGTGTGGGGATAGATGCTAACCAGTTCTCATTCTCTCAATCTCAGCTTGCCTCTTTTTGAATATAACAAGACAGTTCCCTCATCTTCTTAGAAAAGCATACCTGGTCCTGTAAAGCCTGGTTTAATTCTGGATAGGCAGTCATGGATTGGAGCCGTCATCCATTCATATAAACTGAGTTGGGGTAGTTCAGGGAGACAGAGGAGATTACAAGGTGAACAGCAATGAAATGTAGAAGGCAGATGACCACAGAGAAAGGGATCTGATCTTCCTTCTATTTCACATATTTCCTGATGGTCAGACTTTATAGGTTTCCCCAGAATGCCTGGGGGGTGGGGGGATATCAGGAAGTGTTGCATGCTTAGTCCCAGGATCTTCCCAGGCAATTCCCCTAACATACCTTGCACAGAGAGAGGAGTCTGCTACCCTAGGTGGAGGCATTAGCACGTGTAGGCAAGAGAAAAAGATTCAGGAGAACCACTTTCACACCTTGAAGGCGACTTGTCCCTCCCTTTCCCCATAGTGTGTCAGAACTGCATTGACCTGAACGCAGGCACTGTATCCAGCTTTGTCTTCGCTGAAATCGTCAGCATTTTCTTCCTTGCTGTCGGTGTTTACTTCATTGCTGGACAGGATGGAGTTCGCCAGTCCAGAGGTAAAAGAATGTTCCTCAGTGAGAAATGAGACCACCGGGGACCCTCTTTCCTTCCTACCAAAGTAGACCCAATAGAAGAGATGAGGTGGGCACGTGTTGACATCTAGCCCAACTGGGTGAAAAGGACCCTGTTGTGTTCACAGCATATTTACCTGTCTCAAGAACCACCTCCCTCTGATTTTCCTCCGATTCCTCTGAATTTAAAAAAAACTCTTTAATTGAACTAAGACCTACAGAAAGAAACATGCATGAATGGCAAGCATACAGCTAAACAAGCAAACACACCCATGAATCCAAGACCCAGTTCAAGAAAGAGTATTACCCACACCCTAGATGTCCCCCTTGTGGTCAATTCCAGCCTCTACCCGTCCCCCAAAACCAGTATTATCCCGACTTGTAACAACATTGATTAATTTTGCCTGTTTTCATTCCTTATGTCAATGCACTCATACAAAAGTACTCCTGTGTGTGTGCTTCTGTTAGTCAAAAAACATGCCTGTGAAATCTTTCCACCTTGTTGTAGTTCACTCACTCTTATTACTGTTTAGTACTCCAGTGTGTGAATATAACTCAATTTCTTAGCCTACCTTGCGTTTTTTTGTTTGTTTGTTTTTGGTAGCTTCAGACAAGCAGACTCTGTTGTCCAATGACCAGCTTTACCAGGTAAGGGAGGGGGGAATGAATAATTACTATAATTAATAGTACAATTTGGGGGTGGGGGACAAGTTATTCAGAGGAGACCATACAGACAAGGAATTGCTTAGGGCATACAGATTGATTACATAGTCACACTTTGGGTAGAATGGATGAAATGAGAGAGACTAAGGTCTGGATCCAGTGAGAAAAAGTTGAAGAAACAGGGAGAGGGACACACAAAGAAACTGTATACAGAGCCTCCAACCTCCTTGTCCTCTTTCCACCCCCAGGATCGTGAAGCACCCACTCAAAAGCCTTGCACACGAAAAGCATTCAATAAATGTGCATCAAATTAATTCACAGATGAGGAGGGAAAATGAGTTTATGACTGTGCTGTTCTTTTTAGCCCCTCAGGGATCGGGAAAATGACCAATATGGCCACCTTCAAGGAAAGCGATTGAGGAAAAATTGAACTCAGGACTCAAAGTAGGTATGTCCTTCTACACCAGTTCTAAGAAATTACTTTTTCTGGGGCACCTGGGTGGCTCAGTAGGGTAAGTGTCTGATTCTTGATTTTAGCTCGGGTCATGATCTCAGGGTTGTGATATTGAGCCCTGCACTGGGCTCTGTGCTCAGCACAGAACCTGCTTAAGATTCTCTCTCTCTCCCCCTCTCCCTCTCCCTCTCCCTCTGTCCCTCTCCCCCAGCGCCTGCTCTCTCTTAAAAAACAAAACCTTTCCTTTACCTGCCTTCCCATCTGTTGCCAAGTCTATCTCCTTTTTCTAAGAAGCTATAAGCTTAGGGGAGGGTAGGTGACTGATAGTTCTTTGTCGTGAGGGGACTATCCTGTTCATTGTAGGGTTGTCAGCAGCATCCCTGACCTCTCTCCACCAGATGCCAGTAGTACCCCCAGATGTAACAACCAAAAATATCTCCAGATATTTCAAGTGTCTCCCCCAGGGCAAAATCAGCATTCATTACAAACCTCTGACCTCTATTAACCTCTCAATCAACCAATCAAGCAATCAGGAGTTCTGATTCAATCAATAAAGTTTCAATCAAGAAAACAGGACCCAAGCATTATTTGGTTTTCTGAACCAATCCCAATTTTTCTTTTTTTCAATCCAGGTGTTCTCCATGCTGGATAGATCCCAGAAACATGGCATTGACTTTGGAACACTCCTAGTGGAGAGACTTTCAGCCCTAATTCTAGACTCAAATTTCCCAAAGGTGACAAATGGAGAAGAAAGTCCATCAGAGCAAATATGGATTTTTCTCAAAATAAAACTAAAAGGAAAGTAAAAATATGTATGGTGTTGCATGAGCGCCACCTATTGGGAGGTAATTTTCCTGTAAAAGAAAATTGAAAAGGCCCCATAACCCCCTCTATTTGAATATCACTTTTTAAACTTCTAATTTTTATTTACTTTCTGTATGTCATAATTTACATCGTTCAAATATGCAATGAAAGGTCTCCCTCCACCTCCATCCCCAGCCATTCAGTTGTCCTTTCCAGAGACAAACAATATACCAGTTTCTTATGTATCTTTATAAGGTAAATATATAGGTATTTAAATCAGAGGTATTCTAGGCATACATGAGCAAACTCTCTTTTTTTCATAAGCACTCTTAAGTACACATTATTCTTCCCTTCCCTATTTTTCACAGAAATGGTGTCATACTATACATCTTGCACTTTTCACTTAATAAACCTTAAGATTATTTCATATCAGTAAGTAAAGCAGTCTTTTTTAAATGCAACCACATGACATAGACTCGCTATGATTTATTTAATCACCCCCCCCATGGATAGACAAAATATTGCTGCCAATATTTTGCTCTTGCAATGCTGCAATGACTAACGTTGTGTAAGTGTCATTTAAAAAATAATTTTATAGGGGGTGCCTGGGTGGCTCAGTTGGTTAAACGACCTGGGATCGCATCCAGCATTGGGCTCCCTGCTGAGCGGGAAGTCTGCTTCTTCCGCTGACCCCTTCCCCTCTCATGCTCTCTCTCTCTCAAATAAATAAATAAAATCTTTAAAAAAAATAACAAAATAAATAAAATAAACAAAAATAAAGGGTACCTGGGTGGCTCAGTGGTTTAAAGCCTCTGCCTTCAGCTCAGGTCATGATCCCAGCGTCCTGGGATCGAGCCCCACATCAGGCTCTCTGCTCCACCGGGAGACTGCTTCTCTCTCTCTCTCTCTGCCTGCCTCTCCACCTACTTGTAATCTCTGTCTGTCAAATAAATACATAAAATCTTTAAAAATAAATAAATAAAAATAAAAATAAAAATAATTGTATAGGGGCTCCCAGGTGGCTCTGTCATTAAACGTCTGCCTGCGGCTCAGGTCATGATCCCTGGGTCCTGGGCGTGAGCCACTGGTTGGGCTCTCTGATCAGAGGGAAGCCTGCTTCTCCCTCTACCTCTGCTTTGTGTTCCCTCTCTGCTGTCTCTCTCCCTGTTAAATAAATAAAATCTTTAAAAAATAAAAATAAAAATAATTGTATTGAGATATAATTTACATGCTATAAAATTCAGTCATTTTAAGAGATTTTCCCTGTTCTCAGTGACTTTTACAAAATTTACCCAGCTGTGTAATCACCATAATCATTAGAACGTTTCCATCACCCTCTTAAGATTTCTTCTGCTGTTTGCAGTCATTCCCTGTTTCCAATCTCAGCCCCAGGCAACCACTAATCTCTTTTCTGTCAGATTTGCCTTTTCTGTATATTTCATATAAATGGAATCATACAATATGCTGTTAATTATACAATGTGTTGGACATTTTCATGCTAATCTTTTTGTGGACCCCACGTCTTCATTTCTCTGGGGTTGATACCTGGGAGTGAAGAATTGCTGGGTTGTATGACAAATTTATGTTTAACTTTTTAAAATTCCCTGTACCATTTACATTCCCACTAGCAATGGATGAGGGTTTCTATTTCTCCAAATCCTCACCAATATTTGTTACCTTATTTTTTTTTTTAGTATAGCCATTCTCCTAGGTATAAAATGGTATCTTATTGTACCTTTAATTTGCATTTCCCTAATAACTAATTTTCATATACTTGTCCGCCATTCTTTTATCTTTGGTGAAATGTCTATTTTAAATCTTTTTTTTTTTTAATTTGGGTTGATTGTATGTCTTACTGTTGAATTGAAAGAGGTCTTTATATTTTGAATACAAGTCCTTTATTACATATATGATTTCCAAATACATCTACCAGTCTGTGGCTTATCTTTTCATTCTCTTCGTGGTGACTTTTGAAGCCAGAATATTTTAATTTTGATGAAGCTTATTTTACCCATTTTTTTAATAGATTGTCCTTTTGGTATCATGCCTAAGAAATCTTTGCCAAACCCAAGATCACAAAGATTTCTCCTGTCTTCCTTTTATAGTTTCGAAAGTTTCATAATTTTATTGCTGACAGATGTCATTTTGAACATACTTAGGACAATTCATAACAAATACAAATAAATGAGATTTGGAAGCCATAATGTATTTGCACTTGTAATTTTATTAAATATTGCCAAATTGCACTTCATGGAGGTTACTCCCAATTACAATAATTGAGAGTGCTTTTTGCTCCATATTTTTTGAACTTTGCCAATCTGATAAGTTAAACATGACATTGGGATGCCTGGGTGGCTCAGTTGGTTAAGCCGCTGCCTTCGGCTCAGGTCATGATCCTGGGGTCCTGGGATCGAGTCCCGCATCGGCCTCCTTGCTCGGCAGGGAGCCTGCTTCCTCCTCTCTCTCTGCCTGCCTCTCTGCCTGCTTGTGTGTACTCTCTCTCTCTGACAAATAAATCTTTTAAAAAAAAAGTTAAACATGGCATCTCAGTATAGTTTTAATTTATGTTTTCCTTATAAAAAAAAATAGAAGTGAACCATGTGTTTTTCCTTCTCATGATATATATGGTCATATTCTTTTATCTTTTTCTTATTGACTTGCAACAGCCCTTTACATATGTGGGAAACTAGATCTTTTGTTTGTGATATTAGTTGCAGATATTTTTCCAATTTTGGTATTCGTTCTTTGACTTGATGATGATTGGTTTTCTGTGTACATTTTATTTACCTGCATATAGTAGAATTTACTGGTCTCTTGCAGCTTCTAGGTTGTTTCCTATTTAGAAAGGTCTTCCCCAATTTAAGATTTTTCTTTCGGGGCACCTGGGTGGCTCAGTCAGTTAAGCATCTGTCTTCAGCTCAAGTCATGATCCCAGAGTCCTGGGATCCAGCCCCATATTGGGCTGCCTGCTCAGTGGGAAGTGCTACTCCCAACTGCTCATTCTCTCCTCAAATAAAGAAATAAAATCTTTTTTTAAAAGATTATTATTTTTAAAAAGTTTTCCTATGACTTCCTCTGAACTTTTTATGGTTTCATTTTACACATTTAAATGAATGATCCATCTTGAATTAATTTTAATGTAAAGGCCTAACATACTAACTTGAACACTGCATAGCTACCCAATCATTCCAGAACTACTTTTTGAATTATCCCTTTTATGCCCATTGATTTTGGTTTTTTTTTTTTAGGATTTTATTTATTTATTTGACAGAGAGAGACAGTGAGAGAGGGAACACAAGTAGGGGGAGTGGGAGAGGGAGAAGCAGGATTCCTGCCCAGTAGGGAGGCCATGTGGGTTTCAGTCCCAGGACCCTGAGACAAAAACCTGAACCAAATGCAGACACTTAGCGATTAAACCACCCAGGCACTCCATGCCCATTAATTTTAAGTTACCACTCCACCCTCACCAGACTGTAAGCTCCAAGCAGGAAAAGACTTGTGTACTTTTTACTAATGTATCTTCAGAAACTAGCATAATGCTGGAATAAGACAAGCTTTCAAAGATTGCACTGCTGTGTGTGGGTGCATAGGTGGGTGGGAGGCGAAATACACATAACATGAAATTTACCATTTTAAATATTTTAAGTGTACTATTCAGTGGCATTAAATACAATCACAATGCTGTGCAACCATCACCACAACCATTTCGGGAACTTTTTTCATCATCTTAACCTCTGTACTCATTAAAAAATAATTCTCCATTCTTCCCTTCCCCCAGATCGTGGTAACCTCTATTCTACTATTCTATCCCAATGAATTTGCCTATTCCAGGTACAACATATAAGTGGAATCATACAATATCTGTCCTTTTGTGTCTGGTTTTTTTCATACAACATAATGTTTTCAAGGTTTATCCATGTTGTGGCATGTATTAGAATTTCAGCCCTTTTAAGGCTAGATAATAGTCAATTGTATGTATATACCACATTTTGTTTATCCATTCATTTGTCAATGCACATTTTGATTAGTTTCCCCCTTTTAGCTATTATGAATAACATTGTTATGAACATTGATGTACAAATATCTGTTTGAGTCCCTGCCTTCAGTCCTTTGTGGTATATACCCAGAAGCGGAATTGCTGTATCATACAGTAATTCTGTTTAACTATATGAGGAACCACCAAAATTTTCCCAAAGTGCTGCACTATTTTACAATCCCATCAGCAATGCCTAAGGGTTCCTTATTTCTCCTCCTCTTCACCAAAACTTATTTTCCAATTTTTTTGTTAATAGACTTCCTCAAGGACTTGAGGTATTATTTCATTGCAGTTTCAGTTTGCATTAGTGTCACCGAGCATCTTTTCGTGGGCTTATTGGCCACTTGTATATCTTCCTTGAAGGAAAGTCTCTTCAAGTCCATTGCCCATTTTTTTTAATATTTTATTTATTTATTTGACAGAGAGAGAGAGAGATCACAAGTAGGCAGAGAGGCAGGCAGAGAGAGAGGGGGGAAGCAGGCTCTCTGCTGAGCAGAGAGCCCCATGCGGGGCTCGATCCCAGGACCCTGAGATCATGACCTGAGCCGAAGGCAGAGGCTTAACCCACTGAGCCACCCAGGCGCCCCAACCATTGCCCATTTTTTAATCACACTGTGGTTTGTTGTTGAGTTGTAGAAGTTCTTTATATATTTTGGACATTAATCCTTTATCAGACATGTGCTTTACAAATATTTGGTCTCATTCTATAAATTGTCTTTTCACTTGCTCTCTTGAAAAGTATGCTGCTTTCACTGCCTTTGTATACCTCAAAGTAACCTTATAGCATGCATGTTGTCACCCCTTCACAGATAAAACTG